TCTCGAATCTAGCAAGTTTAATTTTGGCAAGATTGCTTCAAATATATATAGTTAAAATTTAAAACTTGATATTTTTTCCTTATGAGATTTTACTGGAGATGGCGAGAACTGTGTTTGACCCTCCAAGATTTTCCTCAAAAATGACGAAAGGAAACTTGGTCTGCCCTTGATCCCACCCACCATCAACTGCAGTTCTCACTATAACGGTTTTATTGATTTATTCTAGCCGCGGTGACCTTGCACGGACACTTGCCATGCCACTTCTCTTCCTCTTTCATCCCCAACTGCCTCTTTTTCGAAGAATAGTTATAGGCCATAAGTTACAATGGTTCTTTTTTTATTCAGTTTAGCGAAAGGATTTGGATAGAATGGGTTGATTGGTTTTTTATATCACGGTAGTTTTTCCTTGAGAAATCGGTTTTTATGGAGGGGAAGCGGTTTTTAGAAAAAAGTGAGGGATGGGACAGAATTAAGGAGAACAATTCCCTCTTTTAAGTAGGAAAGATAATGGATAATCTAGAATCCCCAACTCCGTGTGCTTGTTCGGGTTGAAATAAAAGTAAAGGATGAATGAATCCTGAAGATTAATTTCTATGGGTCGATTTGTATATATAGAAAAACCAAAAGATTTATTTCATCCACTCATACCTCTTAGAAAATTTTCTATAGGTTATTCCTTCAACTTTTTTTCTATTTATATGGGTTGAAACTACTCTGCTCCGAATAAGCCCTTAGATAAAAATCTTAATTCAATCCCTTGGAAATATATGATAATATATGTTTCGTAGCATTTGTAACTCGTAACCCACATTATATTGACTAGGTCGTGATACGAATAATCAGGCAGGCAAGCTAAATAGCATCTGTATTGTTTTCTTTTCTTCCTATTTTATCATCTCAAAGTTAGGAAGAGCAAAACATTGGAGTTTCCAGGGGAAAAATAACGTAGCACAAACTTAACAAGTGGCACAACACAATATAATGAGCCTGTTGGATCGACTGGGGTTGTGGTTACGCCGCAGCCAACCGGAATCGCACCCACAGCCTCGACCACCGAAATGGCCCAGGGGATCTCCGCCTCAGTCGCCTGCCGCCGGCCACCCGATCCAGCTCCTCTGCAGTCGGACGCTTGGGTGAGCTCCGTCTATACCGCCGGCCATCGAGCTCATGCGCCTCCTCCTCGGCAATCGGCCATCCGAGCACGTGTGCGTGAGAGAGAGAGAGAGGGGATTGGGTTGAGGAATGGGCATGACAGGTGGGCCCAGGGAGTTATTTATTTTATTTTTGCTGACTGGATTGACAGGTTGGCGTCACGTGTGCAAGCTCGAGTCAAAACCACTAAAAACAGTGTTAAGGGGGGTTATTTGTTAGGTATGAATAGTTGAGGGTGTAAAATATCTGGTATTTCAGTTTGGGGGTATAATTCGATCGACCACGATAGTTGAGGGGGGTAATTTGTACTTTTTCCGATGAGAAAACATTGTTTTATCGGTAAATCTAATTGGAGAGGCCTCTCCAATTAGTCTTAACCAGAGACACTCACGTGCTAGTACTTTAGGAGTTTTGGTTGCTATTAATCCATTGAGCAAGTAGGAGAAATATTCTTATCATCTATGCTTCAAATAAAATTTTCTCTTAAATTACTTATCCGATTTATAATCCGATTACACCATTGTGTTCGTAATAATTAAATCTTTACAACAAGATCTCACATGATTATATTTTGATGAAAAATCACAAATTACTTTTAGATTTCACTAAGTTACTTCTTAGACATATAAAAGTAAATTCAGTAAAGCCTAAAAGTAATTTACATATATTATAGAAGTAACTTATAACAAAAAAGAAAGTAACTATAATTAATGCCTTTTTTCATTGAACAAATTATCATATATATATATATATATATATATATATATATATATATATATAAGTTACTTTTAGATTTGATTAAAATACTTCCTATACATTCATAATGCTCTGAGGTGATTGCTTTTATTATTATTTTAGTGAATTCCATAATTTGTGCTGATTAATTTAATTTCTAGATAAAGTCATGTTTTTATCTCTACAACGGATTTACTTCAAATGACACGCTAAAGTTACATTCCTTTTGTTCTAAGTTACTTCTATAATATATGTAAATTAGTTTTAGGTTTTACTGAATTTACTTTTATATATCTAAGAAGTAACTTAGTGAAATCTAAAAGTAATTTAGACATATCATAAAAGTAATTTGTGATTTTTCATCAAAATATAATCACGTGAGATCTTGTTTTAAAGATTTAATTGTTACGAACACAACGGTGTAATCGGATCGTAGATCGGATGAGTAGTTTAAGAGAAAATTGTATTTGAAGTCTAAGTGAATGGTGCCTCTTATAGATGGAGTGGTAACCAGCTACCACTAGCTGTGTAGTCACGTCCTTGTTTTATTGTGCACTTCCCCCTCTGTTACAAAATATAAGAAATTTTGATCGGATGAGAAATTTTCTAGTACCTGTTCAAATTCTTAATACTAGAAAATGTCCTATTCAATTCTAGATTCTTTTATTTTAGGACGAATGAAATATAATTTAGCTGGATTTAAATTTGGAGTAAATACACCGACTAGTTTCGTACTATCCGAAAAGCAAATTAATACCGTCAGTCAAATCAGTTTTTGCTGCATTTATCTGAATCTGAATGACAACATGAACATACCTCGTCTATTCTTTAGCAGTCTTGTCTATCTCCCTGGATCACAAGAACCTCGTTCATAAAGCAACTAAGCAAGCCTTTCCTTTCAATTCCTTCACAGTTTCTTTTTTATCACTCCTTTCACTTTCACAGTTTTTACTGCCTTTTGTTTGGTTCTCCCGAGCAAAAGTGTAGTAGAGGAGTAAGATTCTTTCTTGGATGACCTCACCTAGCTAGGTTCAAGTGTTCGTGATCATTGAGATTGATCTCTAGCTTTATCTCACTTTCTTGCCAAGGAGATCGAGGAGATGCGTTTTCTTTCGCATTCTTGGATCGATTTGATCCAAATGGCTTTGCGTTTTCATCGGATGCGTCCGTAGTCACTCGTCAGAGCTAACTCTGATTTGAAAAGTAGGCAGAAAAAATAAAGGTCTTTAGGTCACCAATCTCGAGCATGGAAAAGAACGGCAGGTACGGTACGGTCGTTCTATTGTCACATGTGCACGGTGATTACATGCAACAGCCAACAAGCGGTTTTAGGGTTAAGAAAAAAGTTATAAGGATGAATTAAACATAATAAATTTTAAAACCAAATATTTTATTGTCAAAGGTAATTATAGAAAAATTATAGGTACCATGAATTAAACATCATAGTTTTAAATGTTTTGTAAAACCACATCCTTGTTCAAATAACTAATTCTAGTATATTTAAATCGATATTATTTGAAGTAGCCAAGAGTCAAAGCACCACCTTAGTTACTTTTGAAACTCCCTGAGTTCAATAAAACCTTCCACCATCTTTTTTTTAAGAAAAAAACACCTTCATCAACAAATGGGTAACTAAAACTTTCATATACTTTTTTATTTTAAAAAATAAGTAAAATGCATACTCAACAAATAAAGAGGTGAGGTTTTGTGAAACTTTAGAATCATAATACTTATGCTTATGTATCCATTAGTTATTATATATGGGGTTTTGTAAAAAGAGGTTATCAAAAAAAAGAGGTTATCAGATATGGGTTTCATATAACTTGAACCATAAAATATAAAACATTTGGTTTCCTGAAATTTACGCAATGAAATAGTATGAAGATAACAAAAAGATTAGGAAAAAAAGAGTAAACAATATAAAGTTTGTAAAAAAATCGTATTTTTGAAAACACAAATTATCCATACATTTGTTGTTTAGAACATGCCCTTACACCTCTTTCTCCTGATATTTAATCGCCGTCCATCGAGAGACTTTACCTCAACTTAAAAACTAGTTTCTCACCCTTAACTTTAAAATTATTCCTAACAGTTTTAAATATAAGCCATACTTAGCATTTTGAACTCTTTACTAAATTTTAATGTAAGTCGTTTTGGAACATGTAGGTACTATTTGTTTTCATTTATTATTCCCGAATGGTACCTCTCTTGTAAACAAGTAAAATTTCTATTAGTTGTTTTGTTAATTGCCATGTAAAGTAGGTTCAAATAAAGTTATGTTTTTTTAGGCTTGTTTGGTTAGGAGAAAAAAAACATAGGATTTGACTAAAGATTAATTCCTATAAGTGGTACTGGTTTATATGAATGAAGTAAATGAAATCCAAATGAAAATTTGATTCTAACCTTTTGGAAAATTCCTATAAAATGATGTGTGCGTGTATTCCTATTTCTTTATTTCTCATATTTCTTCAAACCAAATAAGCCCTTAATTGCATTGCCACCCAACAAAGAGAATCAGATCCTAACCGCAGAAAAATTGCTGGAAAGTAAACTACGATGAAAAAGAAAACTCTCATAACCAACTCTAAAATTAACCTTTGAAATTTAAATTTTTGACCGCAAGATAAACGATTGAGGCTAAACACTAAAAGATAGCGGTGCACGCTTCCCCAACAAAATCATCTGAGTCCGGAGCAGACAAGGGGCCCCTGGGAATTCACTGGGCCTGACCTCAGCCTGCTGCTGCCAAGGCAAGAGGTGCAGATCGATGATGTTGAAGGAACAAGGGCAACAGCTTTTGCTTTCCGTCAAAGATTCTAAAACCACAAGTAACATTACCACTGTCACAGCTAACAGTGTTTTAAGGACCAATCATCGAGTCTCTCTCACCATCTCCCCAGTATAGTATAGCCAACTACTGGCTCCAATTCATCTATAGCCAATTTAATATCTCATTCATACAATTGTTACATACTACACTATTAATACCTGGTCCCACCAGTCATACACACACTGTGTTAGCCCGCTGCTCTTCTCTCTCCTTATTTATCTTCTTAAAATATGTTTGCAGCTGGTTTATAAAGCTGGATCATCTTGTTTTATCAGCAACAGGAACAAACAAAATGTACTAGATACTTTTATGAAAACAGAGTATGTACACAGCACAGAATGAACAATCAGAAAGGGAAATGAAACAGATGATTTACTGAATACTCACTAACAGAAGGAAGAAGAGAGCATTTTATCTTATCCTGCCACTGCTCCAGATAGACATATCACATATGTCTGTATACTACTATAGCCACACCCCCAAAATGAGACCCAAAAAAAAAAGAAGAAAAAATTACATGATTTTTTTTCCCAGAACAAACTGGAAAAGAAAAGAGGGCAGAAAGAGCAGAGAAAGCTCCTCCCCTTCATCTTCTTCCTACCAGGCTACCACCAGAGATTTTCAGAGGGATGGCAGCCCATGCATTATTCTCACAAACACAGCTCCAGCTTTAATTTAAATTCTTTTCCCTGCCCTAGCAACAGCAACAGGAGGAAGGAAGACCCTCTAGGCTGCATGATTACTGTGGGACAAAGGTATGTGCACCTCAGGCCCATGCAGCCATGCTGTTCCACAGCTTAGCAAGCTGATGGTGGATCGGGCCGACCCGCGGGTACGCGCTGGTCGGCACTCGGCATTGGCAGGTCGGTAGAGCAACGCACGGGCACTATGCTAGTTTTGGTTCACGGGGCGCGCTTCCTCTCGCTGGCAATGATGAGGAGGCGCGCCACGCCTTTCGTCCACATCTCATACTCCCTCTGGCTGGTGCACTCGAATTCGATTACCCGGTGCTCCGCTGTCCTGAGGCCGAAGTAGCGGCGGTGCTCGCCGTCCTCCAGCAGGTGCCGGCCTGGCCACGCCGCGACATCCTTGCAGACATCTATCACCACACCTGCACAGTGACGGATGGATCAACCTCAATGCCATGGAGGGGGTAGTAAACTGTTTTCACAAGCATGCTAGTTTGCCACTTACTTTTCTTCTTCTTGGTGATTGTCCCAGCAACATGCCGGCTTTTCATTTTGAGCATGACCTGTAAACATGCCATCATAGCTAAGCAAAAGCGCACAACCACCATGCCGGTTTACTACATTCGAAAGCAGTTTGAACATTTACCAGGCCCATTCGATTGATGTACACTGATACAACCTTCCAGTGCAAAGCACCTGCAGATGAAATGATCACAAAAGAAGAACATCAGTAATTGGTTCCCTTTTTAAGTTTTGACATATCATGGATCAGAAAGATCATAGATAGCACCTTTGCGAGTGCGCTTAAGGAGCTCGGTGCCACGTGCAAGCAGTTCTTGGCTGCAGATGCCCAAGAAGTTGTTCTCCTCCTCGAGTGAAAGATCATCACTAATACTACTACCATTGCTCTCCAGCTTGCGGTGCTGCTTCTGCATATTCTGCTTGTGATGGTGCCCTCCTCCCATTGTACCCTTTTCTACGGGGATCACTGCCGCGATGTTCCACACCTCCTTCAAAGCCCTTGCTTTCAATGTGGCGGCACCTCTCAATGCTGCAATCAACAAACAATGTTACATGATCATCAACAATCAGGATCGAGAAAATGGTTCTTTCATGTGGTGCAAACAACAAACCGGTAGCAGCAGCAGCCGTGACAGTAACAATGTCTCCAGGTGTCCTGACGTTCACCGCTGAGCCAATGACAGCCTCCAAATGCTCACGCTCAGCTCCCATGGACTCTGCAGCCTCGACGCATTGCGCAGCCACAAGCGTAGCTGCGGATGCCATGGCCATGTCGGTGCGGGCAGCACGGTCATCCTTGCCAGAACCAGAGGCTGCAGCTGTCGCAGCTGCGACAGCCGCGACTGCAGCAGCCACTGCTGCAACCGAAACAGCAGCGTGGACCTGCGCATTGTGTGCCCGTGTCTCCTCTTTCTTCTTCTCCTTCCTGTCCTTGAGCCACCGTCCAACAGTCTTGTTGCCGCCTCGGTACATCTGAGGCTTCGGAGTGCTTGCTGCTCTGCAGTACTGCATATTTTTGAAATATTTCAGATATTGAAGCTTATCACGAAGCACTTGGGAACATACTACTCAATCAATCCCTAAATAAGTGTACTTCTAGTAAGAATAGATGTTGCTATCATTTTTCCAATAATTGGCTGTTAGTCCCATAACCAATATTGTAGAAGAAACAAAAGAAACTCTGTATATTAAACAGAAAGGAAATCCTATCTTCATACATAAATACAAAGGTAATTAATGAATTGCAACAAGGACAAGACCTTGAATTGACAGAACGAATCAACATTTCTCAGGGTGGGTCCTTAACTTATAGTACTGCTAATTATTGAAGACAGTGCATTTCATTGGCCAGTACAAATCACTGTATTTGCACAATGCTAATTGCTACTAGTAACCTACTACTACAGAGCAAGTCATTAGCTGTAGAGCTATTGAGCTAAGCATGTCATGTACCAGTGCACACACCAGTAAACAATGTTTAGCCACAGAAGAGTACAATCGACACAATCATGAAGCAGTAGACGAGAACCCAAGGAGAAGCTTTTATTCAGGAGGACAATATTAGTCCTAGATCAGATAAAAGAATGCATCATTACATTAAACCGGAAAGCTGAAGGAATAACACTCGATTAGGGACCAAAAAGGCGCAGCTAGCCACACTAATGATGCAGAAAAGGCAGCAAGGAGTGGCATGCCTGCAAGCCTGCTGCTTTTCACCCAGAGAGAGAAATGGGTCGATGGAGAGTGTGACATGGGCAGGCTGCATCAGTTGCATTGTTTGCTTGCACAAGCAGGAGACCAGAGGCAGGCCAGAGACAAGCACTGTAAGTGGAATCAAACGTTCTTTACCACCACACAAACCGAGCAGGCAACAAAATCCATCGTATCAACAGGTTTTCACAGACACTACTGCTCGGAGAGCTAGATGACAGCAGGTCACAGAACACAGAATTAGGATAGAACAAATAAAAAGATTAGCACTGCAGCGGGGCAATGTACTACTACTTAGATCATTAACAGTTGAAATATTGGAAATTACTAGAGTGCCCCTGTGCACCGCTTGCTTTACCTATCCTAATCAAATCTTTGACCTTGACCCCTCATAAGGCTTGTCTCGCTTGGGTTTGGGGCACATGACAGACCAGCAATGTGGGGGCATTCTTGGGCCTTTTTTTTCTTAATAAACCAAAACTAGGAGCCACTGAACAGTCATAATACTACTCCTTTCAAGCTGCTAAATACATGGCTTATTCTACTAATGTAAGAAAGATTCCTTCCAAACTCCAGATTAAGATTTTTGTCAGGTGAGATGGGCCAATTACTAGACTGGTCTGACTGTATGACAGATTGCTTTGTCTCTGGATATCCAAGCACATCATTGTGGCACCATACTGATATACTGTATAGGTATGTTATTCTGGCACCATACTGTATCAGTAAGCAAAGTTGCATGGTAAACACTGTAGAGGTGTAATGCTGAAAGAATATGGAGTAGTGAGAAATGAAACCAACAATTATTGCTGTGAGTAAACACATCGAGAGGTGACACATGACAACTGCTACAGTGAAAAGGAGAGCAGGGTAGTACAAGAGAGACGAAAGCAAAGGCAATGAGGAACGAGGGCATGGAAGAAAAGGGAAGGGGCTACTTTTGTTGACAGATTGGAAACAGGATCCTATATTTTGGAAAAGAGCATCCTTTCCTCAAACCAAGAAAGAGGCCAAGCAGATTTCTACAGCATGCATATCCCAAATATTCAAACTTTTAAACAAACTTGCAACCATATTGTTCAGCAATTCGGTGGTCAAATGGTGTATATAGCATTTGATTATAGTAACAGATCATGCAACTAATTGGCAAACGATTCCTTTTGAAAAAAATAACTAATGAATACTTTTACAGCGGTCTCTACTACTAGTAGTAGTATTCTACTACCAGTAACATCACCGGTAAAAAACTATATGAGCTGTTGATTTACATACCCTACTATACCAATTATGCCCAACTAATTGTCAAAGAAGAAGCTAAATTTCAGGTTCATCCAAGAGAAGGGTCTTCCAGTACAAACTCTCCATGTGAATGGATAGCCTCCGGTCAGTAATACAGGAGTTGTCGGTGAGGGAGATGGATAAGGACATGACCATGACAAACGGCTTCACAATGGGGGCAGAGAAAACACAAACTCTTACGGGAGAGAAAGCAAAAGGGATTGGGCAAAAACAAAAGAAGTGGGAAAAAGAAGAAGGGGAGGGGGTTTAGAAGTCAGGTGTTTTATTGGAATGAGAGAAAGGCATCCCTACGAGTTCTTTGTCTAGCTTTGTTTTTTTGTTCTCTCTCTCTATCTCTAGAAAAATCTGTGCAGCTGCGAAGGCTGCAAGGCTGGTCTCTTTGTCCCACGCAGTCCCACAGCTCCCAAGAGATGTTTTCTTGGTCAAATGACGCTTCTGACCTCGGCTGTTATATTTTACAACAACCAATTACTACCATCTGGCTAAAAATTGGGACACAAAATATGAGCAGAAGCATTTTCATCAGATTGAACAGAAACATCAGGTGAGTATAAGGTTCTTTTCCTACAGAAAAATATGCAGTGTAACAAGGAGAAATTTAACTGTGACTGTAAAAAAGATACACAAAAGACTCATCTTTTATTTTTATTTATTTTTTGTTTTTAGAAGGAGGGGGGATCAGATGATTTCCCACAAAACAAGCACACGACTGCGATTTCTTTATGGCTTTTAGAACAAGGCCTAAAGAATCAAACACATTAGACAGAGAGTCTACTAGTCTCAGGCAGTAAAAGCAGTACCTTGGTTCTTGTCCCTCTGCCCTGATTATTAAAAACATCACTACTACTAATAGGAGTACTTGCTGTTAACCACAAGCCTGCAGATTACTATGCTAGTGTAGGCATTGAAAATTGCAGCCAAAGTACTGAAAGTGCTGGAGCAGTACACAGGTGACATGTGGTAGTAGTAGAAACGACTGAAGCAGTACAGTGTTACAGAGAAAGGGTGACAAGCAATGGACCTTTGCGTCATCGATCTCCGGCGAGACCGGCGGGCTGTCGGTGATGGAGCCGCCGCCGGTGAGAGGGCCGCTGCTGTGCGAGAGCCTGCCGGATGTCAGCGGCGCCACTTCCTGCACACACCTCCAACACCATGAATTGATTAGTGGCAGTACACCAGGTTCAGATATTTGCAGAGATCAATTGATTAGTGGCAGTACACCAAAAAGAAAAAAAAGTTTTTGTTGGACTGAAAAACCACAAAGATTCGATGCAATTATCCTGTCCAACAAAATTCAGTTATCAGAGGAGCACAGAGTGGGTAACAGATGGTAGTAAATGTTTGCCATGGTCATTAATTATTGGGACTAAGATGCGTAATTAAAAACGTCTTTAAGTCGAGGATTAAAAACGGTTTCTTCCATCGCCCATGGGGCGGGGGAGAAAAATCTCTCCTTTGGCCTTTTCTCCTTGTCGAAACATGCGGTCAAAGGTAAACAGAGATCATTAACGAGGAGGAGGCGAGCGGGAATCCGATGAGCGAAACCACCGAACCGCCTCGACGAGTACTGAAAGATCCATGAATTCCCCACATCAAGAGATGCTGCGGGGTTTGTTTTGTTTTTTTTTTTTGTACTGCGTTGTACAAGAACGTACGAAGAGGACGAGACACAGATCATGAACTCATCCCTGAATCCTACCAGTCTACGGGTAACTAACCTGAAGAAGAAGAAAATCGGACGGATTCGCGGTAGAAATTGAATAGAATGCAGGCTAGCAACCGTAAGAAAAGAATGAGATGGGTCATCGAAATGAACCAAATCCCCAATAAAAAATGACCAAATAAGAGGCTTTATTTTTTTTTCCAACCGTTTGTTAAACAAGAGGAAGAATGGAGTGGCGCAAGAAGAGGAATCGCTGGTTAAAAATTTAAGGGGAAAAAAAACTGTAGTGAGGATTTGTGGTGCGAGGACGAAAAGGAGGAAGAAGAGAGGAGCTGAGGATGTGAGGCACGCACGCACCGACTGCGCGAGGATCCGCTCCATGATGAGCTGCGAGGTGGCAGCGGAGGCGAAGGAGAAGGAGCTCCCCGCCGCGGCGAAGGCGGACCCGTCGTCGACCACCTCGCATGCGGCGGTGGCGGCGGAGGAGGCGTCCTCGGCGATGGGGCCGATACCGAGCACCGCGGAGGGCGAGGGCGCGGGCGGGGGCGGGCGCGGGGCGTCGAGGGCGGAGGCGGAGGCGCTCCAAGAGCGGGAGAGGAACTCGAGCGGGTCGAGCGGCGGCTCCGGGGGGCGCAGGTCCCCGGCGGCGGCGTGGCGTGAGCCCCTGCGGGGGTGGTGGTGGTGGTGGTGGTCCCCCATGCGCCCGGCGGCGCGGGCGTGGGGAGGTGGAGGTGGCGGAGTTAAGTGCGAGCGCCAACCGTCTGGCTCTGGGCTCTGCTCTGGTGGTGGTGGCGCTGCGTCACTCGCTCAGTGAGAGAGTCACTCGCTTGTGCTGGAGTGGAGGGGGAAGCGGACAAGTGAGGAGGAGCGGGTTTGACGCGGGGGAAGCGCGGATCGGGGAGGTGAGGTGGTCGGATTTATAGGGTGACGACGACTACCTCCCGGCTCTCGTTTCGTCCGGGGCTCGGTGTGTGTGTGGCCAACTGCTAAGGACTTGGCGTAGTTACAAGTTACTAACTTTTTCTTTAAACTTTTAACTTTTTATCACATTAAAATTTTTCTACACACAACTTTTAACTTTTTCATCACTTTATTTCAATTTCAATTAAACTTTTAAATTTGACGTAAACAACACACTCTGTGCGTGCCTTGGCCGACGCCAAAGTACGCTGGTTCCTGGATACTATCCACACACACATAAATCGTGTACCGCAATGTACTACAGTATGCCAAGTACACCCTTTGATTTTTAATATATGACTAACGCAATTAACTTTTCGAGATACCTTCTTATTCAAAAAGTTGATGTAATTTTTATTTATTTTGTTGTGACTTGATTTATCATCAAATGTTCTTTAAGCATGGCTTAACTTTTTTTTATATATGCATAAAATTTTGAATAAAACGAATGGTCGAATGTTTATAAAAAAATCAACACCGTCACATATTAAAAAACAGGAGGTAGTAACATATAAGGGCTTGTTTGATTTTTCTTTTTATTAGAAAGGGATTTTAAGGGATTGATGAGTACTATGTCTGCATCCCTCTAATGCTTTGTTCGGAAGTTGTGGTTGGGAACAAAATCCCTCTTGCACATTAAACAGAGTGGTACATTAGCGCGTGATTAATTAAGTTTCTGTTTTTTTAAATGGATCAATATGATTTTCTAAAGCATCTTTCATATAAAATTTTTTTTAAAAAAAAAAGCGCACCGTTTAACCGTTTAAAAAGTGTGTCACGTGGAAAGTAAGGGGAGTGACTTAAGAAACTCAAGTGTCGAACTCAGCCTTAGTCATCTTTAATTCATATAAGGGTGTTTTCTTTTAATCTTTTACTGTTTCTTTTACTGTTTTCTTTTAATCTTTTACTCCCTCGTTTTTCAAATGTATTCTTCCCCAACTGCTAACAATGTGTGTTTAAAAAAATTAAAAAATTAATTTAAAAATTCATATTAATCTATTTTTTATATTTTTAAACTAAAACTTAATCAATTATGCACTAAGCGCCGGTACAATAGTAAACTACAAGCCAGCTATAAACATATTTTGAGAATATAAAAGATAAGAGATAAGAGTAGTATGCTAAAGATTTGTAGCCAGCTGCAGCACAGACTTTTAGATGCATGTGTGTATGACATGTGAGACCATATACTAATTGTGTAGTATATGTATATAGGTATAACTATTGTATGAATTGCCTATAAAATTGGCTATAGTTCATTTGGAGCCGGTAGTTGGCTATACTATTAAACTTGCTCTAACGAGCTACCTTGTTTTTCGTGCAAGGATGAGAAGTTCGTAACTTCTCCTCCCAAACACAACCTTAGGGATTAACCAAACGAGCTCAAGCTACTTCTATGATTTCAGCTAAAAGCAAAAGATAATGTTTTTTAAATTCGAGTTTGATGGAAGTATATATAGGATAGATGGAGTATGCAGTTGCCGGTTTTTAAGTGTAAAGACTATCATCTGTACATGAGTGGGTTAGCAGTTTTGTTCATATACTGAAATTCCGTGTAATATATGCATGTGTAATTGCAGTAATCTAATTTTGCCCCTATGCACCCAAGGCACACGCTCTCAACCCATTGGGCCCATAAGATTGAGAGGCGGAAAGACAAGGTCAAACCCTAGAGTCGCCTAGGCAGAGATGTTGGCCGTCTGCTACTATTCCCTCCACGGGGACTCGTTGTGTCATCTTTATTGCCACCGCCACCACAGATAGCATCTGGCTTGTCATGGCTTGTTTGGAGTAGGGATGAGACCTCCCTCTACGGGGACTCATTGTGTCATCTCTATCGTTACTATCACCATAGGTAGCATCAAGCTTTGTCATGCTCTCTTTGGAGTAGGATGAGACCTTTACGACGATGGCTGAGAAGGCGTTAATGGTTGAGGCCACATAAGAAGATTGATTTTGGTGATGAAAGTTTTAGATTTTTGAATTGATTTTTTTTAAGATTAAAGTTTTTATGATTTTGAAATGAAAGTTGTAGATTTCTAAATTGATTTTTTTGTGATTTTGAAGTGAAAGATCCATATCTTTCAATTGGAGGTTTTATGATTTTGAGATGGAAGTTTTATACATGTAATGAAAATTATGTGATTTTAGATGAAAGTTTTATTTTAATAGTTTTTTAGTTGAAAGTTTTAGCGGTTTGAGATGAAAGTTTCTTTTTATATTATTAAAATTGTGATTTTGAGATGAACGTTCATGCCATAAGTAAAAATTTTGACGGTCTGAAATCCGATTCCTCAAACGTAAACGGTAGACATGATGTAGGATAAAAATGGGGGAAAGGAACACAGCTGCGCCAACTAGCCACCTTTAAGTGGTGAAGCTTCAGAGAGTACGATGCAACAAATTTCGGTACATCCTCGTATTGTTGTTTTGATCCATATGTGGTTACAAACATGGTTTGTCTTCCAAATTTATTAACATCTTGGACTATCAGTTTGTACAAACATGGTTTTGTTAATCCATATGTGGTTACAAACGAGTAGTTCAGAATTTTATTAAATTTTGGATGATCTAACGTAAGAGTATATATGTTATTCTCCTGTTGCTTGTTTTATTTAACATGGATTCTTGATAAAAATTTACGGTTGTGACAAACTAATCAACTTGATCAACGGAAAAAAAATCAACATGGGAGCTTACTCAGAGCACCTAACTAGGTAGATTTGTTTTTAGTTATATAGTTGTAGGCATATTTAATTTGGTTGGTATCTACAGATTGTACTTGTAACTATGTATACAGTTTTGGTCCCCATAACCAAGTGTGACAAGATGGCAATCAAAGGACCTGCATGTCAATATAAAGCTAAACGCTTATTTCCTTATCAAAATTCATCGTTGATCACTAAGAGCAAGGATAATAATAAAGCTCACTTTTCACTATTAGCATATCTTAAAGCCAACATATATAATAGATTAGCTATAAGGTTAGCTACAATTTTTTCTCTTCTCTCTATCTCTCACTTATACATTTAATGTTTTTGTCTTGGAGCTTGTGATAAGCTAGCTCTTGCATGAGAGCCAACATCCTTAATTTTTCACTATCGCTCTCCTCCACCTAAGTTTATAGTAAACTTATAGCTCACTATTATACTTGCTCTAAATACGGCCACGGTTTTTTATTACCAACTCTTACCCAAGCTTGGGCAAAAAAAAAACAGAGGCAATTTTTCACAACCGTGAAAAATTAATTTGCACAACAAAATATAACACCTTGGTATTTCTTTGGCAAGTAGAAATTCCTCATAATTCAACACAAGTATTACATATTTTGGAAAAATTTTCAACGATAGCAGCCCTCAAATTAATACGTAGTGCAAACTTAGCTCCCTGTAGTTACATTTGATGGATTTTTTTTTCTTTTGAAATGGTGAAGAACCTTCCTCCTTTATACCTTAAGGGACAAACATATCTTTATACATTTGCCCTATATATATATATATATATATATATATATATATATATATATATATATATATTAGCGGTGGATGTGGTCCAGGACAGTATGACCCAAGACTCACCCCATTTTACCCTTACCCACCTAGACTGCAACGATGCTAACAAGTTAGACAGTTAGTCCATTGAGTCTCATTAGGTACAACGGTCGGTCTATTTAGGAAAAATATAAAAATCAGAAAACACAACACATTAAAAATCTTGATTTAACCCGTATATGATTCATCTTAATTTTTGAGTACTCGTACATCAGATCGTTTCACCGTAATTTTGAGTTTATCATCTTTTGTTCTTCTTCTAGATACAGAAGAAGCACCTCAACAACAACCAAAACAACAAGAATAAAAAAAAATTCCGTGGGTTAGACTTATTATTACCCATTGGATCGGTCTCCGATCTCTCTATATATGGTTCGATCTTTCGCAATGTCTATATCTGAATATCTGCCCGTATTAGGGTGTGTTTAGTTTACGTTAAAATTAGAAGTTTAATTGAAATTGGAACGATGTGACGGAAAAGTTGGAAGTTTATATGTGTAGAAAAGTTTTGATATAATGAAAAAGTTAAAAGTTCGAAGAAAAAGTTAGGAACTAAATCAGGCGTTAGTTTACTTGCCTGCTTGATCTCATATCGTCGATCCTGTCAGTGCACTAGCTCTTGTAGAGTAGAGTTGTGCCTCAAATAGTAAAAATTTACAGTTTAACACACTGGTTTACTTAGTATAATTCAACCGGGTACCGTCCCATAATTTAATGCAATATATATATCGCACTTTATTTACATGTTCACTGTCTTTAGCGTGCTTCCACTTGCACATGACATTTAATTGGATATTTGGATGATTGAATGAACAGGAAAAAAACACGGAAATGGAATGTGTATATATGTTCACTGAACTCAGATGCGGTTTAGAAGCGTAAACAAAAAAGTTTCAAAACTATCATCCTGGATGACATATGTGTAAATACAAATTCAGAACATAAGAGAAAAGAGATAGGGAGTGATCTATTGTACTCGTTCCCCTCCAAAAGTACAAATTACCTCATTTCCTATATTTCAAATGAATTCCACTGGTTATATTAACCTTAGTTTCCAGAGACCCTTTTATAGTTTATACAGAAACTTTCATCAAAATCAAAGCATGTACACCATTTGTTTGAAAATAGATTTATTTTTCATCCATCCCATACGTAACAACATAACTTAAAAAAAGACTAAAATACCCACAATTTAAGGGGGGATTTTAACTATTTGCCACTCTGCTGGATAGCCACTCTTTAAATGCCGCTCTTCCGGTTCTTACTAATCTTTTGCCACTATAGTGATCGCTCTCTTTCCCTTCCATCTCTCTTCTCCCTCTCTCTCGATGGCGAGACAAGATGGGCGTCGACAGTGGAAGCGAGGAAGCTCGGGGCCAACGGCAGTGGAGCTCAAAGCCAGCAACGCCTCCTCCATCGGCAGCCCTGAACTGCTCTTCCATTTCTCTTCTCCCTCCTCTCTATCTCTCTATCTCTCTCCAACAAGACAAGATGGGCTAAAAAGCGGCGGCAATGAAGTTCGGGGACGACGATGGCAGAACTCAAGTTTGGTGGTGGCAGCGGGGTGCTTGGACCCTTTTCCTTTTGTTCCCGGCAGCGGAGATCAAACTGGGAGAAGAGAGATGGAAGGGGAAGAGGGCAAAAGAGACATCTTACATCGCTATAGTGGCAAAAGATTAGGAAAAGCTGGAAGAGTGGCAAATAGTTTAAATCCCCCAATTTAAGGCCCCTTTTGATTCAAAGGAAATTCATAGGCATTTTATAGGATTTTATTCCTATAGAAATTTTTTCTATATAGCCCTTTCCTATATAGCCCTTTGAATCAAAATAATGAACCCTATGGAATCCTATGAAATTTTATGGAATGTCTCTTCCCATACAATTTTCTGAGAAAATTTAACAAGAGATAGAACCTCATGGAAATAATCTTTTGAGTCTTTATCTCTCCTCAAATTGCTCTATTTTTTCCTGCGGCCCAATCAAACGGTCATTCCTATGTCTTTTTTATTTTGTAATCATTTGTTTTATATTTGAATTCCTGTCAGAATCCTACTGCCTCCGTCCCAAAATATAATAGCTTTTAGCCCTCAGAATTTATCCCAAAATATAACAACTTCTCCATCAATATTCTTTTTCCAACCAATCACAACCCTCCACCATTCACTTTTTCCACCTACCTCCACTATTCATTAATCACAACCCTCCACCATTCATTTCTATCTATTTTCTTAATAACTGTGTCTAACTCTAAAACTTCTTATATTCTGGGATAGAGGGAGTATGTTTTTTCTATTTCTCGGTTTTCCATTCCTTTTTCCATTCCTGTTATTCAAAGTGCCCTAAAAAGTTAGAGGCAGTATGCTGTAACACCATAGCAAGTAAAATTGTCGTCAACATTAGCTAGAAATGGAATAAAGTTATAGTGTAGTAGTCATGTACTCCCTCCGTCCCATTAGGCCCTTCACAGTGTTAATTAGGCCCTTCACAGTGCAACCCGGTGGACCGGTGACCGGTGCTCCAGCTCGACACGTCGGATTTGGGCTTGCGTGGCGCTAGGGTCCGCGCCCCAGCAGAGGACCTCGCTCCCACGCAGGGAAGGGCGATTCCTCCCTGCCGCGAGCCCACGCGAGGCGAGGAAACTGCGGCTTTTCTACGCTGTGGAGCGCGTCGCCCCGCCCGCTCGTGCCCTCGCACAGCCCGTGGAAGGGTTTTCCCAAAAATCGTCCTCCAAAATCGCGGCAACAAATCAACGAATCGACAGCAGCCGTCCTCCTGCTTCTGCTCCTCTTCCTTGCGGCGGCGGCGGCGGCGGCTGTCGCACGAGCAGGTGGCAGCCGGTGCCGCGCGGCTCCTCCGCGGGGTCCGGAGGCGTGGGAGGAGCAAGCGGCGTGGGCGGCGCGGCTCCTCCGGAGGCCGTCGTCGAAGAAGAGAGCGCCACCTCGCCAATGCAAGCACCCCAACCCGGTGCTCACCTCGCCTGCTTCTTCCTCACCGCCCGTTCTTGAGCCGCCGCCGCCACGCGCCGAGCCCGTCGACGCCGAGCTCCGCCGCCTTGGCCAGGAGGGACCGGTGAGCTCTCGCGCCGCCACCGCCCTCCGCGCCCTCGTCTTCGGCCAGAACTGGAGGGGCCGTCCTCCGGCCCCCATGGAGGTCTCCTCCTCCGCGCGGCTCCTCCGGATGCGGCATCTGCTGCTGCCGCCGCTGCTCCATCGCTGGTGCCCGTCGTGATTTGGGGAAAACGAGAAGAGACGAGAAGACTCTAGCCTCCAGCGTGATTTGGGGATGGGTTAGGGTAATAGGCTGACCGGTGGGTCCGTGGACTTATTTATAAGCAGTTTTATGTCTTAAGAGGCTTTATTGTAAAATATGTAAAATGTTAAAAATACATAGACTGAAGTTAAAAAAGGAGGGGCTGAAATGCAAAACCTAATGGGGCCCATCTGAAGATCCTCTGCATTGGATGGCATGTAGCTCTGCGTGTCTTCACCTTCTTTTTCATATGTGGAAGTTGAGATAACGGGTTGGGGGAACGGTGCACTGCTAAAGGACTTATAAGTGCAACCATAAATTTTCGTGTCCAACTTTAATCGTTCGTTTTATTTGAAATTTTTTATAATTAATATTTTTATTGTTATGAGATGATAAAACATGAATAGTACTTTACTCGTGACTTATGTTTTTAAATTTTTTTAAATTTTTTTTTAAATAAGACGGACTGTGGCGCGAAAAATTATGGCTACACTTATAATGGGAGCGGATGTAGTATTATTGTTGGGTTGAGAATGTGGCAAATGCACCCTGATGACATGACTAGTGTTTTAAATGCTTGCCGTTTGTTGTACACGGCCACGGCGTGAAAGGATGGCCAGGTGGGGTCCGGTGGTCCTACCTACTGACATTCAAGCAAGTACTGCAAATTCACCCTGTGATTGAGGCATCAACCAACGATGCAAGCCAGGACAAGGTGACGGTACAAAAATGATGCTGCTCCATCTTTTTTTTTCTTTTTTTTTCTCTCTTAGGCCATTTATGATGCAGGATATACACGAGTACCCCTGGTTCACTTTCTCGTTTTGGGCCTTTGTATTGGGTAGTGCCGATATGACGAATTTTTTTGGAAATTTTGGTCCGAAATTTAGAACAAAATTTTGTTGAATTTAAACACATATTATCAAAATTCATGAAAAAAAATTTGGCCGAAATAATATCATATCGGAGAGGTCCGAAATAACCAAAATTTCTGAAATTTCAATCCGAAATATCAAACCCTGACCCCTAAGCACCATATAAACCATATAACATTATATCAGCACATCTCCTATCTTTTTGTTCACACGTCACCAACGATCCATCCCTTTTCCTCTCACTCACCAGGAGCTCCACCTCGGCGATGATGAGGCGACCCCGCTACAACTTCTATCCATCTCCGATGACCTCCCTCCCTCGGCAGCATCTAGATCAGCGCTAAGATAGTGGTGGCCGGATCAATAGCGGTGCAACACGAGACATCAGCGAAGGTCCCTGTGGTGGCAACCTGGGGTCGATTAAGTGGCCTCCGCAATGATGCACCTTGATCCGCTGGCATTGTGGCTCTCCCCTTGTTGGCCAGTGAGCTCTATGGTGGTACGTAGCTACTGTTGTGGCGTTGGTGGATGGGAGGAGAGTTGTTTGGCCGACGCCACCAGTGCTGCGCCTTTCCCCTCACTATCTCCTCCGCCACCATTGCCCTCTCTCCCCCTACGTCGGCATCATCCAGATCTGTCCGAGTGGCCGGTGAGCTCTTTGGGTGACGTCTGCAATCACCGACAATAGAATACAATGCACAAGTGAAGTAAGAACAAGAAATGAGGCTAATGCATTTATAAGTGAATTGTTCTGGTGTTAATCTAGCTAGCAGTTGCCGCTCTTCGTGTAGTGAAAGGTTTTTTGTATTGATGCATGTGAGTTGCGGAACAAAAGTGAAAAAATTGACGAAAGAATGAGCGTGATGGGTAGACAGTTGTGTGTAGCTCAATTTGATATGTTCCTTGTGGTGGTACCTATCCAACTGGGTTAATCGAAAGAGAGGCGTCGATGACTTTATCAATATAAGACAATAAGTGGGTCATCCACGAATCTACTTATAGATCAAATAAATGAGGGTAAACGTATGCGCGGGGCCCGGGCGGGTGGCGGTGGTGGCGGCGGCGGGCGATGGCGACAGTAGGATGCATGGCTCCAACGGCGTGGTGTTTCTGTGTACGGCGTAACGTACAATGTGTTGGTCGACGAACGAACGAGCCATCGATCCATCCATCGGCCGGAAGCGCGAGCGTTCATCACCACTACGAGCTACTCCCTCCGTTTCACAATATAATACTTTCTAGCATTACCCATATATATATAGATGTTACATATGTCTAGATTCATTAACATCTAAATGAATATGAGTAATGTTAGAAAGTATTACATTGTGAAACAGAGGAAGTAGTAGTGATGTACGATCGATCAGATCGATCGTCCTGCGTGCGGCAATATAAGCCACAGTGGAACCAGCCAGCCAGCGGCCGGCCTGTCGCTATATACTACTCCCTCCGTACCCTAATACAATGAATTTTAATTTTTTTCTTGCACTGTTTGACGACTCATCTTATTAAAAAAAAATTTAGAATTATTATTTACTTTTTTACTTACTTTATTATTCAAAGTACTTTAAGCACAACTTTTCGTTTTTTATATTTGTACAAATTTTTTGAATAAGACGAGTGGTCAAACAATACAAACAAAAATTCAAAATCCCGTATATTATGTGACGGAGGGAGTACATGCACACAATGGACGTACTAGTACGTATGGCTTTACTTTCTTCTCATCCCAAGGAAAAACGTCAGCTTCCCTAAGTATACACTGCTTAGTCCATTCCCAACCCAATGACTAGGATGGTGTCTATAGTATTGAATAAGCTACCACCTAAGATGAAAAAATGATGTGGCAAGTGAATAAATAAGAAAAGAGAAGGAAACTATGTCCTGCATAAGACTTGGTTTCTACACAACATCCAAGACATCATGTGAGATAAGTATCATTAAATTTAAGTATAGAATAGTGGTGTTTGCATTGGAAGAGTAGTGTCTAGTATTAGTTTCTTGATGATGTGGAGTTTATGGAAACTATGTCTAGTGTCTTGGGTTGGGAATTACCTTATGAAGGCACTTCGATATTGCTCTCACAAGTACTCCCTCTGCAGTTCTCCCTCCTTCCCTAAATATTTGATGCCATTGACTTTTTAAACATGTTTGATCGTTCATTTTATTCAAAAACTTTTATAAAATATGTAAAACTATATGTATACATAAAAGTATATTTAACAATGAATCAAATAATAGAAAAATAATTAATATTTTTTTAATTTTTTTAAATAAGACGAACGGTCAAATATGTCTAAAAAAGCTAACGGCGTCGAATATTTAGAGACGGAGGGACTACTAAATAAGACACATCCTATTACTACGAATATGTACAAGACCCTTATCTAGATTGAACAAGATTTGTAGTATTAGGAATGTCACACCGTGGATAAGATCCATAGTATACTATAATGCATACCCTATGGCCAATACTAGATTTTTATATTTTAGAACGGAGTAACTATATATGTACCATAGTTCCTATGCTAATACTCCCTCCGTCCCAAAATAAGTGCAGTTTTACACTATTCACGTCCAACGTTTGACTATTCGTCTTATTTGAAATTTTTTTATGATTAATATTTTTATTGCTATTAGATGATAAAACATGAATAGTACTTTATGTGTGACTAAATATTTTCAAAATTTTCAAAAAAATTTCAAATAAAACGGATGGTCAAACGTTGGACACGTATATCCACGGTTACACTTATTTTGGGTACCTACGGAGTATAAATAATGTGAAACTATAACCTTCGAGAAAAAATAGCCAGTATCGTAGTATGCATCACAATTAATTAGCAGCCACAAACAAATGCCTCTGGGAGTATGTTGTTCCATGCTAGTACTACACCTACAATTACGCTACAATCGAGTAGCTACTATTCCTCTGCAGGTTTTACGTAGGAGTATGTGTCGTCCTCCCAGCTTTAATTCCTCCTTCTAAACAATTTGATTTATTGTTACTATGAGGAGGAGTATACTCCTACTACCTACCTAGCTTGTACATGCTTCACTAGCGAGTTAACGTACGGTGCGTGCTAGTGTTCGGCACAGCTGCAGTATGTGTGCAATGTGTAGAATCTATATTTGTATGTTTGGCGATAGATACATCGTGAGAACCCCCGGATATTTGGGGGATACGCACTTTAGTACTTTGCAAAGTTAGTTTCACCACAACTTTTAGTTCTAGCTTTGGGTTGGAAGAGAGGCTCATTGCCTCCTTTCCTCCTCTCGTCACTCCTATTCTTCTTTGGACCTGTTTGAAAAGTTTCTAACAGCTATAACTTTTCACATAATCTCCTGCTCTCCAAACAATCTAGATTATCATCTAGATACTGAGAATCTATAGTTGTAAAATCTAGAAAATAAACTAGTATCCAGAAGCTAAAGCAGGTCCTCAAAATACTTCCTCAAACAGAGCCTTTCTCTCTCTCTCTCTTCTTCCTCTCCCTTCTCTACCTCCTATGTGATCCCGTGAGGTACGAGGGCTTTAGCTCCCCAACACCCTCCGCTGGATTCACCTTTGGGAGCAATGACCGATCACTAAAAGTATTATATATGCATCGAACGCTCCTAAAATACAGGGAATACATATCCTCTGTCATAGTATTAGGCCAATTGGCTATATTATATTGTACTACTCCCTCTGTTCCATTTTAAATATAGCCATGAGTTTCCGTGCCTAACTTTATTCATCCGTCTTATTTAAATTTTTTTAAAAGAAATTAAAAACACAAGTCTTGCATAAAGTATTATTTATATTTTATCATCTCATAACAACAAAAATACTAACTACAAAAAATTTTAAATAAGATGGACAACTAAAATTAGATGTGGAAACTCATTGTTGCACTTAAAATAGAAAGGAGGGAGTACCTTTCATCTCCTTTAATAAATGCATTTGCCTTGCTGCGTTCGGCAGCTAAGGATTGAGAGAAGATTTCTCTCATCTCCGTGCGCACGCTTCCCAAACTACTAAATGTTATGTTGTTTTAAAAAAGTTCTATAGGAAAATTACTTTAAAAAATTATATTAATACATTTTAAAATTTAAAATAGTTAATACTCAATTAATGGCTCACCTTGTTTTACGCATTTTCTCAATCTTATCTTTTCCTCTTCTTTCAAACGCATCCAAGGTTCTACATATGATACAACTTCAACAACAAAATTTGTCACACAAGTCAAACTCCAACATTCCTAGGGGATTTTCTACATGACATGTTGTGATCCTACATTTTTCCAATCATTGTAAAATCATG